CCGGGCCGGGACCCCCCGCCCCGGGCCTTGGCCGGAGCCCACGATTTGGGACAGGACGGACTCCCTGGTCTGGGGCCTTCTCCCCGGGCCCGGGACCTTCGTCCCACGTCCAGGCCCCCGCCCCGGGCAGAGACTCCAGCCTGAGACCCCCCCAGGACCCCATTCCTCCAGGCTGGGACCTTCTCTTGGCCTAGCATCCCCATCAAGTCTTTCCTCCTGGGAAAAGGACCTCCCCCAAGTCAGGACTCCCATTTTCTCCTCGACCTGGAGGCCCCCTCTTTTCCTCCTCACCCCCTTTTCCCTCTTGGCTCTAGTCTGGTCACCGTGTCTTTCCCTTCCCTTCAGCCCTGCAGTCTCCTTCCCCTCCTCCCTTTCCCCCTTCTTTTTTCCCCCCTACTTTTCCTCTCCTCAGTGCCCTGGGGGGTTCCAGGCACGTTTAAGCACCGCACCTCCATTTCCCCGTGCATGACATGGACAAGCAGCGCCCGGGGGAGCCGCGCTGGGTCCCCAGGCGCGCTGCGCCCCCGCTGCCCGTGCCCGCAGGCGTGCGCCAGGCGCTGTGGCTCACCAAGGCGCAGCTGGTGCCGGGGCTGCCCGCCCGCGTGCTGCGCATCGCCGAGGAGCCGGCCAACCTGCTCGACGACCAGGACGAGAGGGCGCAGCGCGCCGTGTCCCGCGCGCGCTTCTGGGACACCACCGAGGTGGCTCCCAAGAGGGAGAGCTACTGGTGAGCGCCCGCTCCTGGGATACCGTCCGCTGCGCCCGGGGGCGTCCCGCGGGCAAGAGAGGGACGGAGGGTTTAAAGCCATAAAAGAAATTATTCCGTTGAATAGATACAGTGCAGATACAGTGCAGAGCTGTCCCTGCCCGTGTGTCAAGTTGTGAGCCTCAAAACAACATCAAGATAACCCCCCAAACCCCACACAGTTCTGGGTATTGACAGTAGCGCAAATCCGAACATGTTCTTTATAGAAAGACTCCTCCTGGCTCGCAGATCCCTGTTGCTGCTTGAAATCTAATTCTAGCTGATGCAGAATATCATTTTTTTAAGTAACTAATGGGAAGCGCTACCTTTGCCAACTTGGAACAGGGCTGGTGTGTTGCCTATTAATCTCAAATCTGTATTAACTGTTTGGAAATGTTACGCTATTATAAAATATTTTACACACCATAATGTTTTATAGTGTTTGTGACCCAGAATAATCTGTCCCCCATTATGGTAACACTTTTATTTTATGTAACTATTCCTTTTTTTTTCCTCTCCCTCTAAAGCCCCGTGCTCTTTGAAGAGTTGCTGCATTTATGTCGGATAATGACGATGAAGCATCCTTCTCTGGCTAAGAGGATGTTGACCAGAGACTACAGGATAGCAGCTACGTGGGAAAGAGGTCAGTGGTTGCTGGGCTGGAGAGCGTTAAGCCCTTCGTTAGCGTGAGAGGGACAGCAAAGTCACCAGCGTGAAAGCTGGGGGCTTGGACAAAATGAAGCAATTTCTGGAACCAATTATTTTGGTTTTAAATAGTGCTGTAAGCGTAGGATGATGGATCCTTGCCACAGGGTGGTTGTATCTGCATCTTAGGCCCAATTGCTTAACTAGCGTGTGTCCAAAACGTGTACTGCTGTCCCTCCTGAGTGCCCTTAGTTAGGGGAATAACTCCAGCAAACAGTGTAGGTGTTTCATGTGGAAGAGCCTATAGGTGACATGTTGCTACTTGGGGTTGGCTGGTGCTGTGAGCGGGGCAGTGAGCCCTGCAGAACAGGAGCTGCTGGACTGCTGCTCCCCCGAGGGAGGCTACATCTTCTGCCAGCTCCTACTCAGTGGTGTCTGAATGCAGCCTTTCATTCCCTCCCCAGAATCATTTCTCCTTCAGGTCCGTGGCCTGAACGGGATCCTCCTCAACTCCATGGCCCCAATACCTCCAGTAGCCTCCAAGGAGGAGGTAGCAGCCACTGCAGAACACGCTCTGGAGACCTTCTATCCCATCTTGCCCACGATTGATCTTCAGGAGGTGACTGTGTACAAGGAGCTCAATGATACGGGTAAGTCTAGCAGTTGGGCAGTGTTTTGTTAGATGAGATACTGAACTTTTGTTCAGGTTAATATATAGGCCTTGCCTTTCTGCCAAAGGGCTGTGGTGAGAGGTGGGTGGGGATGAGGTGCAGAGGAGCTGGGCGCAGGATGGTGGTGAGGCTGCCGTGGAGAAAAGCTTAGATTCAGGCAAATGGTTTTAATAGTTCCTGAAGATGCAGGAGCAAACGTGGCTGTGTTGTCTCTTACTGATTTTTTTTTTTTTTTTTTTCCAGGTTTTAGGGCTGGTTATCCATACTGTCATCCTCACACACTGTACTTCTTGGAGTCAGCCAACATTCGCACCAACAGGTTCAGACCAGAGCAACTTCGGGCCAAGATGATGATGTTTGCGTTTGGCAACGCGCTGGCGAAGGCCAAGATGCTCTACGGGGTAGGTAACTGCGGCTGCCGCTCGCTCACCAGGCCCTTGGTCTTCCTGGAGTGTTGCAGCTCGTGGATAAAGCTGCAAAATTCCCTTTCCCTGGAGGGTTGCAGCAGTTCTGCTGTCTGCCCTACTGGCTTTGCTGAATAGTGACTTCCCAGTGCAGCTGTGAGCACGTTCATGGTGCAGTGTGTGTTGGAATGCCAAAAGGTAGGAAGCAGGGAGTAGGTCTGGCAGAAAACTCTAACCCATCCCACATCTCAGTATTTAAATTGATACTTCATTGCTGGTCAAAGGAGGAATTTTAATTAAAATACAAAATCTACATTCAGAACTTGTTTGACTAGAGTAATTTTCTGGGCAAGGTAGCAATAAACTTATTAAAATCTTGGCTTTGAGCCAAGTAGAAGGTGCAGAATCAGCAGCTACTTGTACAATTTCAGTGGTAACTGGCTTTTCAAATGCTTCCCTCCCTGCTTTCTCCCCACCTTCTTTCCTAGAACGATCCCAAGGTTTTGGAGCAGCCAATAGTGGTGCAAAGCGTTGGCACGGACGGCGAGGTTTTCCAGTTTATGGTGTTCCAGCTAAATACAACAGACTTGGTCTCCAGTGATGGCATTAAGAATCTCGTCTGGATTGACTCTGATCAGCCGCTGTATGAAAAAGCCCAGTGTGTCCCAGAAATCAAGAAGAGAGTTGTTACGGTAAGGAAACGGGAAGGAAAAGACCAGTTTGGTGGTGGTGGGGGATAAAAGCTCCTGGAAATGTTACTGTGCTGGGGGGAAGCTGGGGCAGAGCTGGGGCTGAGAGGGGAGTTCAGGCAGTTTAAGATTTGTGCCCAGGGAGGCACCTGCTGCAGGGCCTCCCGCGTGGGGCCGGGGAGCACGACGTGGAGGCTGCCGTGTTCCAGGTCTGATTGCAGCGTGTTTAGCTGTTGTTAGTCTGCATTAATCACTTTGGGAGCTGAGTGTCCGTGTCTTTCCTCTGCAGAAGCCTGCTGGAATATATGGCTTCCAGCCAGACACATTCAAGAAGTTTCTGGCACTGTATTTGCACGGAACTGTGTGAAATTCCACTCGAATGAAAGACTGTACCTGCTGCTTCTCTTTGCCAGAACACCACATACCTAAAGAAAGGTGGATTCATTTACTTTCCAAAATAAATTATGTTGTTACTCAAAGTAAATTTTTTAAAAATCAAATTGTGCCTGAAGAAACCTTTTATTTTAGGGGCTCATCTCTTGTATGCAGCTAGAGAGTCATCGCGTTCTTCCTTCTGGACTGTCCCAGTGTGGCCTGAAAGGAGCCCAGAGCCCCCGTTGCTGCCCTGCACGGGTTCTGCTCACCACGGGCTCTGCAGAGCTCCACTCACACCCGTTTTGTGAGTTTGCTGTCGCCTCATCTGTTCCGTAGGGGCATCCTCCATAAAGCCTAAAGAGGGGGGGTCCAACACTTTGTCCTTCTGCCTGGCTCTTGCTTTTCTATCCATTTTTGGAAGGCGTGCTGGCCCGCGCTCCTGCTTCCCAAAGGGCTTAATCAGCGAGAGGGCTTTTTTGGAGCTGGAGAGCTGCAGCTCTTCCCCAGCTCTGGAGAAGAGAGCTGTTCGCTTTGGCCAAGTGATGGAGCACGTGGCAGGGAGCTGTCTGGCCTAGCGCCTGCTATTTGCCACTAGCAAAACAGCAGAAGAATTTCTTCCTGCATATGGAGTTAACTGAGCTGGTAGCGTGTTCCTTTTAAGAGGGGGGATTAGTGTGTTTTTTGTAAACACAGGGCAAATCGCCTCCAGCTCCATGTGAAATATTTTGCGGTTCTGCACTGCTGCCCTTCAGCAAGGAGGGAGGAAGGGGGCAGCCTGAGCAATCCTGAGGTGGGGAGGAGAAATTTCCAAGGAATTTGTGGGGCTTTAGTGTCTTATATGAGAGACTGGTTTGTGCTATGTGATCTTAGTCTGTCAGAATAGACACCCCAGCTCCCTGCTCCAGTCTCGGAAGCCACCAAACAGCTCTACCCACTGCTTTCAGAAACCGAGTTTATGTAGCCAGCAATTGTACCCTGTGAATTGGGATGCATCTCCTGTAAATTAAAAACACTCAATAGTCAAGAGAAAGTCTTTTAGGAGAGAGAAATAATCTAGTAGGTCCTATCAATCTACGTGATGTTAATTCTGCCTGTGCAAGAGCTGCCTAATTCAGCTCATCTCCTCAAATGTTTAAATCTGCACCTAGTTATTTGGGAATACATTCCAAGAGGTGGGCTCGGCCGCTCGGCGCTTGCTGAGGCTGTTGCAGGGGGTGTTTCGTTTTGGCTGCGTGGAGCAGCCCTCGGCCCTTCCGCGCGGGGCGGGAGGCAGCGCTGCCCTCGGAGCCGCGGGGCCTCCCCGGGCCGCCCCGTGCACAGGGTCTCGTGTCGGTGCAGAAGTGAGGAACGGGCCACGGCCTGAGACGGTGC